AATCACGGTCGCTGAGGGCTTGGGGCTGACGGGCAACCTCAAGCATATGGAGCGACACTATGCCTGGCTGCAGCACATGGTGAGGCGCGGGAAGTTCGTGCTGAAGTACATCCCGACCACCGAGCAGCCGGCAGACTTCCTGACGAAGGCGCTGCATTTTCCAGCTTTCAACCGGTGCTCTGTCGCCATCGGCCAAGTTCGTCTGGTCGACGTCGGCGACGGCAACGATGATGTGCAGCAATAGGTGACGTGCCCTTCTGCACGGCTGGTGCGGTGTCGGCGTGCTATGTGTAGGGTGCACGTCGAGGATGAGTTTTCTCCGTGGAGTACTGTCGTGTGGGCTGGAGGCCCAAGCGTGAGCGCGGCAGGGGAGTGTTAACGGGAATGGAGTGTTGGCCCTGCCCTCGCTTGGGCAATGCCGACGACTTGATCGGGCTGGTCTCCTGAAGTCGATGTGGCTCGTCAGGCACAGACAATAGCCGACGGATGCACAACGATGCATGTCGGGCCAATCGCATGCACGCACTTGCGAGCATGCGCACTGCTGTCTTCTACAGGGCAACGCTGGACAGCCACACTGCTGCAGCGTTGGCATGCCGTCGACCTGCAGTGTTGGCAGGTCGCCTTTCTGCGGTGCTGGTGCGGCTCCTCTATGCAACGCTGGCAAGCGGTCGACCAAGCTATGCTGGCGGTCGACCAGGCTAGCTGAAGGGTTGATAGGTGCCTGATGTAGTCATTGTTGTCATTGCTTGTTCAACTATTCTGTAATTTCGACTTTGCTAGTGGAAACTCTTGCCGATTTCTCCCGTGATTTTGCAAGCACTAAGGAACTAGGCAAAGCTACGATCACTCCTAGTAGTTCGTGCCAACCCCCGCAGTCTAGCTCACTACCGTTGTAGAGTGGATCTCTGCACATCGCAACACTATGCTCATCACACAGAATCTGTTTCTTTTTTTGTGGAGTGGGCTCCGGCTCTATTGGCTTTCTGTTCTACCTATGAGTCTCACGTGCGTACTATGTGGTCGAGCATGACCTGAATTACAACTTTCAAACTGTGCACAACCAGCCCTACTCCCTTCATGAGGGAGCGGTTGAGACTCTCGCCAACCAAACCTGTGCTGCTCTACGACTCCCTGGTTTTTTGCGGGGTGTCATTTGGTAACCAGAGAGGCTCAAGAAGTCAACTGTGGGCTCCGAAGGCAAACTGTGCAAAGTTTGCCTTCCTTCTTTTGTAATTCAGGTCTTGGGCTTTAACAGAGAAATTTGGCAAGAGTTTCCACCAAGGAATTGAAAGAAACATTGAGAACTCAAAATTAGAGTACAAAAAGAGGCATGGAAGTTGATATGACTAGAATGGCATTGGAACCCCTAGCAAGCATTCTGCATGGCGAATTGCCAGCACTTCATCATAGCAATTCGCCAATGCTGCAGCAAGGTGGCCTGCCAGCGTAGCAGAAGGGCGACATGCCAGTGCTGCAGCAGGGCGGCCTGCCAGCGCTGCATTCGCATGTGAATATCTGCGCAGGTGTGCACCTGCCGAGTAGGTGCAGGTAGACAGTTGCACCGTCAGAGACATTGCGCAGGTGCCAGGTAGAAAACCCTCCGATGGTTTCGTCAGATGTCCACCGTCGAGCAAGTAATGCCATTCCGCATGTGAAATTTCGCTAAGAATCACCTGAGCGAATTTTGCATGCCTTCACTGAGTTCCGCAATCGCGCGAATTCGGTCGACCAGTTCGCCGAGACGAGGCTTGCCGAATGGCGCCCTTCGATCAGAGAACGGGGCTCATCGGAAAGCACTCCGTCAGCCAGAGATCGCGCGACTCACTAGCAGATCAGAGGACGAGCTCGTCGAACAGCACCCCGTCGATCAGAGCTCGTCGTTGGGCTGGTGAATCAGAGGACAACCTCCTCGAAAACCACAATGGTTTCAGAGGACGGGCTGATCCAATGCGACGATCACTTCGTCGAATTCACCACGTCGTCGCAGAGAATGCCTGCGCCCAAGCGAGGGCGGGGCCTTTCACTTCGACAATATCGATGGCACACCCGCCAATGCAATAAAAGCGGCTGCACTTCAGGTCGGGCTCGACGGTAGTTGACCCTGCATACGTCGGGCATTTGCGTGTCGTCACTTGCGCCACCGACATTTTTGGACGCAAAACTCCATTTGCGCCTGGCGAGTTCCCCAGTCGTCCTTTTTCTCCATAGTTGCTCCGAAATTATCGCCCACTGTGCCGCATGTCCCTTGTCGCCAGCTGCCGAGCCACACTCCATGAGTCAAGCGTGCAAGATGACGACGAGCCACCGTTGTCACTTGCCGCATGGGACGACTCCGAAGTTGTCGCGCAACTGTTGACCCAGGTCCAACGGCGTTAACTGCCATTCATGCTGACGACTTCCGCGAATTTCGTGCAGGTGCCGACGCAGGTCCGCTGACGCCAGCTGCCTCACAAAATTCCGAAATCGTCAGTAAGAACGCAGAGGAATAGTAACTCATGTTTAATGTCGCGACAGCTTCAGCTGTTTGTTGCCCGGGGGGAGGGAGGTCACAGTCGATCGCGATCGTTCTAGGCAAGGATCTGGCGGTGCCGAAGGAGTGCTCGTAAAAATATGGCCGCGAGGAGCAACTAACTAGTTCTCCTGGCCGGCTAGCACGCAACTCCTGGACCCGGAGGCGTCCTTCCTCGTCCCCCCTCGTCCCCCCCCCCGAGGGGTATTACACTCTAAAAAACGGGGTAGGATAGGAAAGTAGCTCTGATACCAGGTATTATGAATGAACTATAGGAAATCCTAGCTGATGGAATGGGTTTGAAACCCGTAGAATTGGTTAAGGGACGTAGCCCTTTTCAGGATCGTAGTATCTTGGATTAAAGACTAAGTATTGGCAGCGGAAGACTTGTAGCTTGTCCAACTTGTGTGGAGTCAAGCTTGTATATGAAAGTTGTAAGTTATAAAAATTATATGTGTGTAAAGTTATATTTATGAAACATGCATACAGAGGTTTTATAGTCCTAGCAAAAGTACCTGTTCGTATACTGTAGACGAAGTACCTATTCGTCACTCTAGGGGTGTTGACCTATAGACACTAATAAAAGTGGCTATTTGTTGACCTAGGCCTAGAGCTACTTTGACTAGTCAGCTGAATCCGAATGCTGACGTCATCAAGTTCGAGACCCACTATTGTACTGTTTCGATATTGTATAGTCTAACTGGGAATTTCAGAAATGCTAAGAGACCTATATCTCTCAACACTAGCTAGGCGGGGAGATCGGGAATGGATGGCTCGGTGATGTTGCGATTGGGGCGGAGGCCGACTCGGGAGTGGTTCAGTGCGACGAATTAGGCCGAATAGGTGCGTCGCGTGACCCTCAGGATGGCCTCGCTAAGGAGTGCCTTAGTAAGGATTTTGTAAATCCTTACAAGATTAAGGCCTATTGTATTCTGCTAGTTCTATTTTCTTATGTGTAAACTACCTTGTAATCTAAATCACGTTGCAATCACAGAGTTATCCACCACACCCTATTGCCTTTTTCTCAAATTCGAAGGGAAACTCAAGAAGGAAATGTATGATTGTAACTCTATGCATGGTTTGGTTGAAACTATAGAGATCATATATGTGTGCTTGTGTATTTCATTTCGCGTCCGATTTTGTTCTGCGGTGTTGCGGAATGACCTGTATCGAGCTTATTGTGACAGTCACTAGTTTCTCGACTTGTGTAAAACATGTGTGTTGACCAGTCCACTTTGTTTCTGCCAAGCAGCGACCAATTCCACGCACCACAGTACATTACACCTGATGCCTGGTTGAGCTATCCATCGTTTCCTTGCAAAGAGGGCTTAGAGACGGTTCGTGTTATTTCGTAAGATTTGTCAACGTCGCAGCTAGAAAATGGGGTTAAATAAAAATATAAGTTACACATTGACATTTGACGTTGGTCTCTTAGTTTCCATTGGTTCAGATCATTGCATTGAAAGTTGACGTCGGTCATTATTCGTTACCATTGTTTCATCATCACTGCAACTTGCTCGAGGGCTTGCAAAGTGGATGCAACCGGCCGACGCAAAAAGCTCGAGTGCAGACTTTCTATCCATGAACGATATAAATCGCGTTCAGGGGCTGAGCAAGTGTAGTTGTTGACCTTTCACATGCCCAAGGACACTACAAAACATTTGTCGCTGAATATTTTATTATCGCTGAAGAATTGTTGAAGTGTTCGCGCCTTTGGGCAAAAGACGTTTCACAGCCCCATTTCCCACTTCCACAAATATGGACCACGAAAACGAGGTCGTGTAGTCTGGCAAAGCCTAGCAGCGAGTGTAGAGTTGACGGTGTTGGGGTCCCTGAAATACCCTGGGAATCACAACGGATCAATTGAAGTAGGATAGGAGACGGGAACAGCAACTTCTGCGCGGTCCATTCCCCCGCTTTGGGACAGTTGTGCCATGACACATCAGTCCAGCAACACGTGAGCTCAACACTTGGGGATTTTCGTTCTTTTGTCTTGGGATGGCGAAGATATAAATGCCAATCACAAGCATTCGCGAAGTAGCTTTCCTCGCAAACGCGTAACCAATCACCAATCCCAAGCAGCTGCATTGAAGCGCCTTGTCTCTTCTTTCACCACCCAATGTGTGGACACAATTTTACCGGGCTTTTACCCGGCTTCTTTAGTATGTCACTTGGCCCTGCCGAGTGGCGCACAAATTTCGGTGCACTCAAATTGGAAATGACCGCTCGCGACAGCCATTTTATTCCTCGGTCTCCGTCACCGTCCTTCACTAGTACCAAACAGGCCGTTTCTCATTCTCCCTTCATAGTTTCGAGAACAATGTCAAAGTATGCGGAAGAAGATACATCCGAGTCTCTCCCCGATCGCGAGTGTGGCGTTGGGCCCACATCAACTGAAAACACTTCCCCATGGCTTCCGCCATCGCCTTCCGCCGTGCGCAGCCCGCACGCGGAAGTTGTTCGGCGGAAGGCTACCTCGTCGAAGGACATGGACGAGGAGTGGGGCGATTACCCCGCGCACGCGGAAGAATGCGCGGAAGGGGAAGGCGCAATCACCGCCGACGAATGCGCGGAATCACCGAGCACGCTGACGAATGCGTGGAAGGGGAAGGCGCAATGTGCGGGTGGGTTTCTCCGCCTATTGCGTGGGGGGGGAAGTGCAGCCCGCGAACCAGGCGCTTCCGCGAACGCCCCTTCTGCGCGCTCTTCCGGCGACCTTTTCGGCTTCCGCCGCGCGCGGGGCGGGCGGTCGATGTCGTGGGATAAAGCTCCCGCCGAGATCCGCGGAGATGATAAAAGCGCCAGATCCGCACCAGCAGAGAGAGGAGCCGCGGAAGGCACGCGGGAAAAAGCAGGACGCGGCGGGCGAACTTCCCCAGCAGGATCCGGGGAAACCCGCGGCTCACGCGCAGCAGGATCCGGGGAGAAAACCCGCGGCTCACGCGCGGCAGGATCCGGAGAAACCCGCGGCTCACGCGCAGCAGGATCCGGGGAAACCCGCGGCTCACGCGCCATCCGTGTACCAGAATCGCCGTCGAATGCGGAGAAGGGATCCTTTTCAACTGACGAGGTGTCAGCGGCCGTTGGTGGACACGTGGATGATGACATGTCCAACTTTGCGGACTTTTACTTGCCCTTCGAGGCTGGTATAGGGCTCGGCGCGGAAGCATACGTTTCTACCTCGCCGAAGCCAATACCCGCCCCGAAGGACAAACCACCGCCCTCAGATGCAGCTTCTCTTGCTTCTGCGGCCTTCCCCTTTTCTCCCGCCTCCCCTGCCTCTTCCGCGGCTCTTCCTCCTTCCGCATCCACCACCTCTTCCGCGGCGTTCCCCGCCTCTTCCGCCTCGCCGCATTCGCCCGCGCCCGCCGGGCGGCGTATGGCTCGTTCCGCGTCCGCCAATGCGCGTTCCCCCAACATGAGTGGGTATTCCGGTCACATCCTTCCGCCTCGGCGGAGTCTCACTGCGCAAAGAACTTCCGCCCATGGGGACGAAATTTCCCCTTGGTCAGCCGCTTCCCCGCAATTCGACGCCTCCCCTTCTGCAGCAACGAGATCTCCCCGTAACGCCGCGCATAGAGCTGGTAATTCCATAGGTAGTGTTAACATTGACGGTGCCGCTACCACTTCTAACGCTGACGATAACCGTAGCGGTAATGTTAATAATGAGTACCGTGACGACGACAACGACGACGACGAAGGCGCGGTGATGGCTCAGCCCATGCACCGGAAAGGCGCAAAACGAGGAGGTTCAGCGGACCTCGCGCCATCCGCAGAGGCGCAGCTGGTGGCAGCAGCGGCGGAAATGCTCCGCGGATTGGGCAGCGGGGCGCAGCAGACCGGGGGAGTCGGAGGGGCGGGAAACCGGGGCTTACACAGCGTCGCTTCCCCCACTGGAAGCGCTGCCGCTGGAAGGGTTTCTCCTAGCGAGCGGCAAGGCAGCTTACAACGGGGCAGCTTACAACGAGGCAGCATACAGCGAAGCGGTGCTCGCAGCAGCATCAGTAACGGCAGCAGCGCAAACAGCAGCTTTAAGGAGAGATCCAGCTTTAAGAATGGAGGCGGCGGCGCCGGGGGTGGTCCTGGGGGTGGTCCTGGGGGTGCATCCGCGATAAGGAGGTTCTCGTTAGAAGTCCAGGAGCGGCTGAAGCAGCTGCAGGTGTCGTTTGATGATTCCGCGGCCGGAGCTGACTCCGATCATGCGAGTCCTTTTGACGAGGGTGCTTATAACGAGGGTGCTGAGAGTGCTTATACCGAGGGCGCTGATGGTGAACGGGGGCGGCTGAATACTGCTGGGCAAGTTGAAGCTGCAGCGGCGCATGCGGTTTCAATGAACGCTCATGTGTTGGGGAACGCTCCTATGCTCTCCCCGCCACCCTCCCCCTCCGCCGCCTCCCACAAACCCTCCCCCCAATCCCACTCCTCATTCTCCCCCAATGCGCCCCCCCACCCTCCCGCCTCCTCCTTCCCCTTCCACGCCCGCATGCCTTCCCCTTCCGCCTCCCTTCACGCACCCCCCACTTCCCACCAACAACCCTCTGCCAACCCCATCCCGCAGCCGTCCTCCCCTCACGCCCCAACTTCTTCTCCATCCTCCTCCCCCTCAAGCCAACACAAGCCAATCCCCGCCATATTCTCCCACCCTTCCCCTATTACCACCCCCCCGCTTCACCCTACTGCCCCTTTCGCCCTGCTCGCCTTTTCTCCCACTGACTCCCCCAACTGCGCCTCCCCCTTCCCCTCCGCCCCCTCCCCCACCTGTCCCCCCGTATCCCCCTCCAAGCCTCCGCGCTCCCCCACCTCTTCCCCCGGGCTCTCCCCCTCTTCGTCCCGCCACTTTCACCGCGCCTCTTCTATCCGCTCCCCCACCCACCTCTCCCCGTCCGCTTTCCAGGAACCCCTTCCTTCTCCAAATCCCCCTCACTCGGTCTCTTCTTGCCCAGATTGCACCCACCGCTACCCCTCCCTTGGTCTTAGCCATATCTCCCCTTCTTCCCTGCCACGCCACGAGTTACCCTCAAGTATCAGTGGTATGGGAATGGGGACACGCATGGGGGGAGGTACGGGTTTGGGCACAGGTGTGGGAACTGGTATAGAAATGGGTATGGTTACAGGTATGGTCCGGGGACAGGATCAGAGGCACCAGCGAAGTGTTTCCGAATTGACTCCCAACAGTAGCCCAACCGACCTCTACCCTCCCTCACACCACCTCATCCCTCCCAACATGCCCAATACTGCCACCCCAGGGGCCACCGCCATCGCCACCCAAAGAAATAACCCCCAAGCAAGAGGGATGCTGCACACTGCCTCTCCCTCTTTCTCACCTTTTCACCATCTCATTCCTTCTCCAGAAGAGAGCAAGGTGGGAACGGGTACAAACCAGACTCTACGGGCGTTTACGCGGTCCCAGAGTGCGGATTGCGTTGAGGGATCGACAGCTTTGGAGGAGACAAGAGTGAGGGTGCAGGCAGGGAATGGTCGGCGGTTCATGCGGAGAAACTCTGTCGATGGAGGCTCCTTTGGGGGCCCTTTGGGGGCACGCATGGGGTATGCTGCAATGGCAGCGCATGGGAGGGGTGCGAGGAGCCCTATCAAGTCGTGCATATCCCCGGCGAATGGGTCTGGAGGAGCGAAGCTGAGGAAGCAGGTGTCGTTCAATAAGGTCGTGCAAGTGCGGAGGTTCACGTCTTGCGACACCAGCCCTGAATACTACTGAGTGGTGCTTGTTGCGAGCGAACGGAGCGGGAGGGAGGAGGGACGCTGAAGAAGCAGGTGTCGTTTAATTAGGTCGTGCAGGTGTGGAGGTTCACATCTTGTGACGCCAGCCCTGAACACTGAGTCGACTTTGAAAGGAGGGGTGCAAAGAGCAGCCGCCCATCAAGTCCTGACCTGATCGCGACGCCAGCCCTGAATACTGAGTGGTGCTTGTTGCGAGCCAACGGAGCGGGAGGAGCGAAGCTGAAGAAGCAGGTGTCGTTTCATAGGGTGGTGCGGGTGCGTGTGAGGAGATTCTCCTTTACGATGGCAGCATTGGGTGATGAAGAGTCATGGGAAATACATGACATGACAAGACGTGACATGACATGGCAGGGGTGATCATGGCTTCATGGGGCATTTTTTTTTTTTTTTTTCCGTAATTGCATGTATGGCTTCTGATGGATGACCAGGATGAGAAGTAGGGTGAGCTGAAGAAGCAGGAGTAGTTCTGCTGGGTTGTGTGAGCGCACATTTTATCCTTGTTCGGTGCATGGATAGGTGGGTGAAGTGGACGTCAATAATATGACATACACACCACAATATGCATGGCAGTGTCAAAAATGAAAGTGTTGGTTTCACTAAGGTTGGTTGGGGTACATAAACCTAACCCTAACAAATGTACCCCCTATAACACACATCACTAAGACTACAACATTTGACGCACCCCCATAGTCTAATTGAGGGGTGTCAAGCAAAACCAAAAGTGTGCGGTCACAAGACCAGTCACAAAGAAACACCTCTGGTGTTCACAAGGCGGTAGGGCCTTGGTGAAGATGTCTGCAGTGTTGGCCTCGGACTCAACAAAGTCGAAACGAGCCTGTCCACGCCTCTGCAACTCTCGCAGAAGAAAGTACCTGACGTTAATGTGCTTCACTATGCTCTCCAGTCGTGGCTCTCGACAGAGGAGAATCGTCGCCTTGTTATCAGTGAACAAGGTCGGCGCAGAGCTCGGCCGCTCACTAAGGTCAGTGAGCAAGAACGTCAGCCAGTGCAACTCCTGTGCAGCCATAGCTCCAGCGTAGATCTCGGCCTCAGCAGTAGAGGTCGAGACCGAGGAGGAACGTGTGGACCTCCACGAAATAGCTCCAGAGCCCAGGCTGAAACAGTACCCTTGGGTAGACCTGTGCGTCTCGGCGTCGTTAGCATAAGAAGAGTCACAGTGACCAGTAAGCACGACGTCCTGTCTCCCTCCAAGAACTAGCCCCACGCCTGATGTCGTCGCTAGGTACTTTGCCACCCTCACAACAGCTGTCCAGTGAACTGGACGGTGTCTCCCTGGCGCAACAAAGCGAGCAAGGATGCTGAGAGGGAAGGCGAGGTCCGGGCGAGTACAAGTCAACAGGTACATGAGGCAGCCCACAAGCTCTGCGTAAGGACCACTTGGCTCAAACGGCTCGTCAGGAAGGGGTCCGGTGAGTCTGTGGTCAACGGCAAGAGGTGTGCACTGTACAGTAGAGTGCTGAAGCTCGAACCGCTGAAGGACCTGCTGCACCATGTGTGACTGTGAGAGTGTAATGGTGCGAGCAGCTCTGTCCCTGGTGATCTGCAGGCCAAGGTAGTGGCGCAACTCACCAAGGTCAGTGCAAGTGTGTCTCTTCTGTAGTTCGAGCTTCACGTCAGCCAAAGCAACCCTGTCAGCAGTGGCGAAAACCAGGTCGTCGACGTAGACCAGTACAAAGAACGGTGTGGAGCCACGACAAACGAACAGCGACGGGTCGGCAGAAGAAGGCTGGAAACCAAGGTCAGAAAGGGTAGAGCGAAGAGTGTCGTGCCACTCACGAGGAGCCTGACGGAGACCGTAGACCGTCCCCTACGCCTCCACTCGGTCCCATGAGGGAAAGTGCCAGTGAAGGCAGAGGGACGACGTAACCAGACCTCCTCGTGTAGGCTACCCTGAAGGAAAGCAGTGGAGAAGTCAAGAGAGTGTAACTCGTAGTCTCTCTGTGCTACTACGTGCAGTAACACCCGAAGAGTGGTCATCTTCGGGGTAGGCACGAAGGTCTGAAAGAAGTCAACTCCCTCGCGCTGACTGAAACCTCTGGCCACATAGCGCGCCTTGAAGACTGGAGGAGATCCCGGTGGCCGCTTCACCCAGAAGATCCACATGCCATCGACTACGTTTGCCCCAAGGGGGGGAACCTCGTCGACGTAGGTGCTTGTGGATCTGTAGGAGGCCATCTTTGAGTCCATGGCAGCTCTCCACTGAGAGGCCCAAGGCCCTGACACTGCCTTAGCGTAAGTGCGAGGAGTCGGTATGTCAAGGGCGTCGGGGTCTCCCTCAGGGGCGAGCAGCATGGCACAGAGACAAGGGGAAGCGGCTGCCAGGAACTCCGGCTCAAACTGCCTGTCCTCTAGGGCGTCACAGACAAGGGCAGACTCACCCCCGATGGCCAGAGGACTGGTAGGAGGAGCAGCCACAAGAATGGTGGCGTAGTCAAGGCAGCAATTAGAGGCAAACTCAGTGACTGCGGCAGTAAGTGCGGAGACAGAGGACAGAGAAGCACGTGGGTCGGTAACAAGAGAGGCGAGAACACGAGAGAGAACAGGACGGTACGTGCGGTAGTAATCTATGATAGGAGTAGAGAGGGAAGCAGTGAGAGCCGACTCAGGAGGAGAAGGAAGTGCAGAAGGAGACAAACGAGGCAGACTAGAACGAAACAGGGCAGTACGAAGGTCAGTGAAGGGAACAGGGGACGAAGGACGAGCACGAGGAGAGCGACGTGAAGGCCAAGTGTGAGAAAAAGGAGGGGACAAGGGGGCAGAGGAGGAGGGAAAACAGCTGGGGAGGGGTCAGGAGGAGGAAGCGGAGGACCAGAGACGGGAGGAGAGGGGGGGGAGGGAGGAGAAGGAGAGGGGAGACCAAGGGTCCGAAGACCAGATACAGGAGGAGGAGGTGGCTGCTGCTGTTGCTGCTGCTGCGGCTGCTGTCGCGGCTGCTCCTGCTCTGGCTGCTGCTGCTGCTGTTGCTGCTGCTCTAGCCGCTGTAGCTCCAGCTGCTGCCGCTCCAACTCTCTCTCCTCTCGCTCCAACTGCAGCTGCTCCTCACGGGCATGGCGAACACGGGCCTAGTGCCGGGTCGGGTAGGGGTGGGGGGGAGGAGTAGTGTCCGGAGCGGTGGTAGCCCCAGGACCGCTCTCCAAAGAACCAGACGCACCACCCCCAGAGCCAGCACCACCAGAAGTAACAGGGTCCGTCCCAGGCTCTCCAGGTCCAGCAGAGGGCGCACCCCTAGTTGTAGCACCCCCAAGGACAGCTCCACTAACACCAGCTCCCCGAAGACTAGAGTCTCCTGCAGTCACGGGTTCAGCTCCAACTCCAGCACCCCCAGAACCAGGACCTCGCACAGGTACGCTCTCTGCTCCAATTCCAGCACCTCTAGAGCTAGCACCTCCAGGGTCCTCGCCATGAAAACCGGCTCCCGCAGGGTCTACTGTAGGCTGGGAGGAGGACTGTGGGGAAGGAGGCTGCACCTGAGGGGCTACCGAGGGGGGAGGGGTAGCGTGGGACACACCTGACGGGGCAGGACCAGGGGGGGGAGGCTGTACCGGGGGAGCAGGAGGGGGAGCTGAAGTCAAGAAGAGAGGGGCAGGAGGAACCGGGAGAACTCGACAGGGGTACCTGACGTAGTAGGGGATGGACTCGTCGAAACGGACGTCACGAGATTCAAAGAACCAGTGAAGGGGAGGGTGGTAAAAGGTGTAGTCAGACGAGTCCTCAAGGAAACCAAGGAACACGCAGGAAACAGCGTGAGGCGAGATCTTGTCCGCGGAGGTGTCGCGAACAAGTGCCGAGAGACACGTGACCAAAGGTTCAGCTGGTGAGCGGCGTACCGAACCGCGTAGGGCCACAGAAAATGGGGGGCACGGGCGTGAGTCATGGAGGTGCGGGCGATCTCCATGACCAAGCCTATGCGACGCTCAGCAACCCCATTCTGCTGTGGGGACGCTGGAAGCGTCCGGGACTGACGGATGCCCTGCTCGCGACAGAATCCAGCGAGACTGCCAGAGCAAAACTCACCCCCGCGGTCGGAGTGAAGACAGCTGACAAGACGACCACGAGTGTCCGCAGTAGTAAAGCAACCACCGGATCAGCGTAGAAGTCACGTCGGACTTCTTCGCCAGGGGGAACACTGTGGTGTAGCGGGAGTAGTCGTCAACGACCACGAGAAAGAAACTCTCTCGCTCAGGGCCAGGGCGCGAGGCGGGGCCCCAGACGTCCAAGTGGAGAGTCTCGAAGGGCTCGGTGGCCGGACGAAGGGAGGAGGAGTGAGGGGTGGCGCGCAGCGGACCCTCGACGCAGGGACCGCAGGGTGGCGCAAGCGAAGGCGGCAACGATGGCAAGACACGCGGGAGGCCTAAGACAAGACGCTGCCTAGACATAGCGCGCAGGCGAGAAATGGACGGGTGCCCCATCCGGTGGTGCCACAAAACAGTGGGGTGGGCAAGCGACCGGCCGGAGCACGACGCAACAACTGGACCAGACACTGGAACCTGACCAGACACAGCTACCTGGGGAGACGCGGCAACCTGGTGAGACGCGGGAACCTGACGGGGGACAGTGACAGGGGTCGGGGGTAATAGGTGCTGCTGCTGCTGCTGCTGTCGTCGAGTCAGGTACCACGCCGCTGCTCCACCCCCTGCGGCTGGCAGACCAGTTGGTGGCTGACGAACCCGAGCGTCACCTCCACCAGCTGCAGCAGGGGAGTCACCGGCCGCTGCACGAGGTGCTCCTCCAGCGCCTGCACTCCCGCCGCCGCCGCTCGCCACGTCACCCCCACCGCCTCCGCCGCCTTCGCCCGCACCCTGACCGCCCCTCCTTCCACTCCTACCCCGAGACCGCGAAGAAGTTGTAACAGCAGCTGCGGTCACGTCAGTAGCGGCAGTGGCGAGGGAGGCAGTAAAGGTGGGCAGCTGAGGGACAGTGCACCCGTGGAACAGTGGAGGGGGCACAACACCAGAG